GGGGGTCAGCGACCTCTTTCTTTAACCAAGTAGCCAAGGCACCTTCCAACGTCTAGTCTACGGCCTCACCTTCACCTTGTCATTAATTAATTAATCTTCAACCTCTGTGCGCGTTTCTTTCTTTTCAAGTGTTTCACGGCTGATCTATGACGATATTCCATTCGCCAGAAGAGGCTTAGAGCCCGCTTTTATCACCGTCTCGGAGGCACCGTCTGAAGTCGATGCTTCTTTTTCAGGGTCGAAAGTGACAGGAAGGAGGAATGGAATAGAATGGGATCACCACGATGATGCGCGCTCAGCTCAGGCCGAAGATATGAGCCGCGTTAGAAGATCTGGTGCTAACCAACCAGCTCCTTACCTCGCCGTTGGGTTGGGCTGGATTGTGCCCAGAACTGTCATCGTCATTGGATTGTTTGATCTGCGTCTTAATGCAGGAGTTATATCCCATCCTATACGAAGAGGGTTGCTGAGCTGGCAATGCGAAGACAGCAAACAGTTGAACTCAACTCGATCGATTCCTATCCTTCTGGTCATTCATTGACCAGGTACCCTACTCTCTGAACCGTTCAAGACCTTGCGATGATCAATTTTGGTGCATTTCTTCCACATGGTCTGTGTCGAAGCAACGAAACAACCTAGAGCACGTCCAAGTTAAAGAGTGGGTTGATGCTCACTCCATTTCTCACGCTCCTGATTTTATTTAGCAGTCTGGGCAGCCTAGTCTATCCGGGCATGGTCTTTTTTTGCAATTATAGCTGATGTCGAAACAGAAGCACGTCCCTCACAAGCGGATTTCCCGTTAACATCCCGCAGAATTGATTGGCTTCAGCTTGTCCATCTCATTCATGCAAATGCTTGCAATGTCTCTGCAGGGATCCCTAGAGAGACGGGGCATCCTTGTTCATGAGCCAGGATCCCTCGACATCTGGTGACAAGAATCCGGGTGTCGTCTCTTATCTCTTTGGTCCACGACTTAACTTCCATGCTTGCATTTCTCCCCTCTTCTTCTCGTTCTTTGTGGTCCTGTCCTTCTTTTCAGCTTATGCAGTCTGTTGACTGGCTTTGACGATTCGTTTCTTACATTCATTTACCTTTTATGTTTAGTCTGTCGTTTCCTTCTCATCTTTATTACATACATTCTCGAGGCGAGCTGCGCTCATCACCGTAGCCCTTTTTCACTCTTTTTGACCAATCTTCAACTCGAATGCTCCTAGTGATCAACACATCTTATACCCTTTGACTATTGACCAACGAACCAGTGTTGCAACACATCTCCCATCCTTGGCTTGCGTCTTGAATCAACTTTGCCACTTTGTGTGACAACCCTTTGAACAAATCATACCTCATATTCCGTCATCTTATAAGCCATGAGTCCGATAGAAGGGCCTCCTTCTACTCGGTCCGGCCGACCATGGGTTTGGGATAAGCCCAGCTCAGTTATGAACTTTGAAAGGTAGACTGAGCAACGGAACAAGTCATGTCTATTCACGATAGTGAACTAACTCAGCTTAGTATTTCGGAAGAGCCTGGCTCATCGACTACACGACCCCCGACTGGCCGCACTCGAGGCTTCACTTCTTCTTCAGGACGACAAACCGTCAAATGGCCCTTTCACAGTTTCAGCAACTCGAGATCCTCCATCAGTTACGTTCGTCGCCCTTCCAACTCTCGGTCCATTCCGCAAAGCTCAGGCTCTTTGCCTCGTCGTGCTGCCGGCAGCATCAGCCGTTCTGTCTCCAGCATCCTTGGTAGCGACATTATTCCCGATTATGTAGTCAATTTCATGCGGGGCGAGACGCCCGAGTCTCTCGCCCAGAGGCACCGTATTCCGGACAGCCCTGAGCCAGGACAGTTTCATCGCACTCCAACAGGTCATCTCGATATCTCACCGGGCAACTCAAGGCCAGGCACTCCAAGAGCCGAACATGAAAAGATGCTAGTTGAGGAACGACCACTACGAACCAGGTCCCTCATGACAGGATGGAGAGGTGGAGTTGGGCTCAACATGTTTGTGGCCTTTCTCATTCTCGCGGCTGCTGTGACTTGTCTTGCCCTCGCCTCTGCAAAGGGACACATGGCGACCTGGGAGTCGACGTTGATGCAGGGCAATACGACCACAGTTGAGGGTATCTCTCGGGGAATTATGGCTGCCGTCAACATTTTCGCTATCGCCCTTATCGCCGGAGCCAACTATGTCGTTCAAATTCTCAACAGCCCAACCCGCGCCGAAGTGGACAATGCCCACCAGAACTTTGAGTGGCTCGATGTCGGTATTCCTTCGCTGCGAAACCTGTCACTCATTTCTTCGACTAGGGCCACGCTATCTGGAATCATGATGGCGTTTGCCCTTGTCTCTCAAGTGATGTAAGCAAGATAGAGTGTGCTGGTTGGACACCAGTCATGGCTAACAGCTTCCAGATATAATGCCGTAATTATTACAACTGAACACTCTGACAAGTCTAACGCATCACTTAACGTCAATGGACCTCTGCTTGCCGCAATCACACTCGTAAACCTCGTTCTCATCTTTACCTATATGATCGTTATCGCTCTGGCTCTCACTCGACAATCTTTCAACCCGCTGGTCACGCTTGGCGATGCACTTACTTCGTTTCTTGCGGATCCCGACTACAGCACCCAGGATTCGTGTCTGATGACTAAAGGAGAGGTCAAGAAGGGACTATGGGGTGAGCGAGAGGGCAAGTACTGGTATGCTCAGTCAAGCTACTGGTACAATATCCCTTCTCCTCGCCGATGGACCGTTTGGGTCTTGACATGGATTATGCCTGTGGGCTTGACAGCGACAGCCGTGGCCCTGGGGGCTATGGAGAACCCAAAGAAGGCATTTTCGACATTTGGCAAGGCGGCAGTGGTATATGAGCTACCTTCGGGAATGTCGCGATCCGGGCTGGCCATTGTTGCAGCGCTTCCTCAGCTTCTTTTGGGTCTTCTGTATCTCTCAAGCAATGCGCTGCTGACACTGTTTTTCCTATCCCACGAATTCTCGCAGTTCTCGTCGCAGCTGCTTCCATTTCGGATATCTTCCGGTCAGCCACTGGGTGCACAGACGACTTCTCTGTACCTGACCCTGCCTCGACCTTTATCCTGGATGCTCTTTTTCCTGATTACCGCCATGGCTTATCTTCTTAGCCAGGGTGTTCTGCTCGTTTCCGTGGACAGTAGCCAAGGATCGACCACAGGCATTGGGTTCAGCCCCCTGCCTTTACTTCTGCTCCTTGTGCTTCTCGTGGTGCTGGCATCCGGAGTTGCTGTCCTATCACTCCGAAAGGTGGATCCCCGGGGTGCCGTGGAGAGTGGAGCACCGGCCGGCAACCCATTGGCCTTGGTAGGCGGAACATGTTCGGCAGTCTTGAGCGCACGATGCCACCGCGTACCGAGAGAAGGCGGTGTTGAAACGCTTGAGGTTCGATGGGGTGTTGTGCGAGAGGGTGTGGGGATGAACGCAGGCCATGCGACCTTCTCTGGAAGGCCCGTGGGAGATATTATGGTTGGAAGAGCGTACGCATGAAATTTATTTGATATGGAAGCTTTTGAGTACTGTTGTTAATGTCTATATGGATGATATACCTGGCGTCTAATGGTTAAGCTATAATGAGGAAAAGTTTGGGTAGTCAAGCATTCAAATTCGTGTCTGTTGTTCTCTATTAACTTAAGACTGAACATGTATTCATTGTGTTGGCGTAACGTCCCTAAGATGTTCATGTACAAGCAGAGATCAGATACCCAACAGAAATATTGACATCTGTAAATCTCCTGACAAGATGTGACTGATCGCCAGACTGGGGAACGATAATCGTCAACCTAGATAATCAAAAATGGGTCATGGGCTCATCAAAGATCAAGAGCGAAAACGAAACGAATCACTCAGAGGTCAGTTTAAAAGGATGGTGCCAGCAACAGATGATTTGAGCCAAACCCCCACATTCGCTGCATCGACCATCAATCGCGAAAGATAGTCTAAGCATTGGGCAGCTTTGTTGATTATGAATTCTTGGTAAGGATTGACTGGCGTAGCAGCTTACTCCTCTCTTAGCCAAGCAATGCGTGTCAACAAAGAGACGCTCCAGATATCCTGACTTTAACACAGAACGGAAACTTTTTGTTCTCGACCTTGTTGGATAAAGTGTAGAAGCTGCCTGCCTAGATTCGCTGGTTCGGTTAGACAGGGGTAAATCTTATAAGGATAAGCCACACTTGACCCAACTAAAATGCGTCCCCATGCGTTGGTCATACGATTCAGTGCCACATCAGCCCAAAGGTCGGTCGTTTCTTACAATTAGAAGACTCATGATTGGTCAGACACTACGTTTTTCTTCCATTTCGGGATCTCCTGCCTGCCCTGCCTGCTTTTGGTTCGCTTCGGTTCGGAAAGCACTTTGAGTTGGCGGTGTTTACCTTGCGTGGCAGGCGCGACCCTCCCAAGTTTAGGAGGTACCTCCCTTTGCTGGAGAAACCCGCAAGGGTACTTGCGGCAGTGTTGGAGTATTGTAGACAAGGTGGGTTCAGTCCAGGTACCAATAGACAACCTTAAGAAGGAGGACCTCCTTTTGAAGTGACCGACCTTGGTAGTACTTAAACTCTCTCGCTCGACCCTTTCTTTCCTCTTCTTTGACCTTGATTTTTACACAAATAACGTCTCATCTTTTTCGCACTCACCACTTGGCTCCCTCAACTACCTACAAACCACGCTGATCTCTTGTCAACTGCTCGATTATTATAATCACCTCGACTGCCACTTACACACAACCAAGTCTTTCGCATTCAGACTTGCAACACCGTCAAAATGACTTACACCATGACTGCCCACCTCTGCAAGCAAATCTACGCTTCATGGCGCCAGGCTCGACAACCTTCTCCCGAACTGGCTCTGCCAAACCAGACTCCCTCGTCTCTGATGCGCCCTGCCTCTCGATCTCCTTCACCTCCTGCTCAACGCTCTGAGCGACGCCCATCAAATGCTTCAGACTCAGACTGGGCCCCCAACAGACGTCACTAAGGAAGACTCGAGATTGTTTGTTTTCCTCACTTACGACTTATGAAACGAGTCGACTTATTGCATTGGGAACACGAGCACGGAATCTGGCGCACATGACTTGTTTACGGAGTTTTCCTTTTTATCAGCATTCACAATTCTGCAACTTTCTTGGAGACACTGGCAACTCTCTTCCTGACGACCCTTTCCGATCAGAGGGAAAAATTGGCAAACCCCCAACAAGAATAACATCAATGGGCCATCTCAGGCGAGATGCAGCAAAAACAGCCCAGAAAGGGTGGGGCTCGTTCGCGACCTTCCAGGACCACAAGGTGTCAATCACGGCATTTCGTGCCATAATGGCATAATCCAGGCACTTGTACAGGAGTACTTTGTACTCCTGTACATGACTTGCACCTCCGGTTAACGAAAGAAGGAAACCCAACTTGATATGTGGGTTTGTCGCTTTCTTTGGATTTTTCAGGCACCAGAAGAGACATACAGCTGCAGACAGGAGAGCGAGTCTTTGTTCATAAGCAAAGGTTTCTTTCCTCTTTTTCTTTATTTGTTTAATTGTGCAGTGGTTGGAAACAACGACCACTTTCTCTCCATAGATACCCAAAATGAAACACTATATTCCCAATCACAGGCAAACCTATCCATCTCCTCACAAGTCAGATTCCCAATCTCATTCTTCAACCCCCTGACCACTCATGACTCAATTTGGATAACAGTGGCATGACCATCTGCCCACACCACATGCCCCTGCAATCGGGTCCCCCCGCTAGCTGCCATGCTTTGCGGGGTGTATTGACTTACAGGTTTACCACAAAGAGAGATTGTGGCTGGTGAATGTGATATTGTTACACTTATGGTCTTCCTGTTCTCGAAAATTCGAGACGATTCACAAGCTAGTAAGCATCTCTGATGCTTAGTTGCTATGGCGATCACTCCAAGGTTTCCAAAACTTCTTTTAGCCTGCCCTCCGGGTATTACAGGAATTAGCCTCCAAAAGCACAAGAGATGAAATAATTTGCACACTTGATGATAGCTTAGACTAATACTTAAGCCTTGGAAAACATTGTACTCAATAAATCCAATGCCAATCAACACAAAAGCTGGCGTTTTACCCCAGACGACACATCCACACAGTTTACCCCGGATTTCAGCCCTGAGTTGCAACTCAACTCAGACACGAAAGTTTCTTCTCCTCGGATCGGATCGGCTTTCCAAACTCGTATCACAGCCTCTTCCGAACCGAACTATTGAAGCTTATGTGCAGCTCAGCCATGTCATCCGCTTCCTTGTTCAGCCCTGTGTCTATTAATAGCACCAATGCATCTGCGCTCATTCTGACTCCAGTCTCAAGTCAAGTTGAACCACAAGATCGGATATTATGGTCAGTATTGTGATGAATTGCTCACTACAGATTTACTGGATAAACAAAACCACTGTTATGTTACTCTCCAGTCGCTTCCACTGTCGCTTTTAATTTCCGTCGATTCGTTTCTCATCAGTCCAAGTTAAAATAAATCCCATGTTCCTCTCAGTCTCCATGCCGTTCCTGGCCCTGATCTGGCCTTGTCTATATCCAATGACGACGACTGGGTTCTGTGTTCTTATGCAAATCCTTCCAGAGCCAACCCAATGGTCATATCCGCTCGTCTCTGAAGGCTGTTTAAACATCTTCTACATGCCCTCCGTAATGTTGAATATACTCTCCGCCGCCTCCGCCTCCAACGCCGGCTATTTAGCTTGCATCGCTCCCGTCTGCTAGGCCGGCGTCTCTACATCGCCGACGCAGCCATAGTGTCGATGGTTGGCTTGGCCTTTCGTGACGCCTGTTCTTCCTCTCCACTGCCATCTGGCGAATCTTGCAGGGCCACATTGCCCTGGATACGTCGCTTGGCGGTCTTCTTCTCTGCCTCTGTGATGTTCTCTGCGTTCTTTCGCATGTCGGGAGTCCACTGTGGCTCACTAGGCGTGTGTCCAACAGACATTCCTACTCGGACCTGTTTGGTATGTTAGCAACTGGCAACTTCTCCTCATGCTATGTGATCAACTTACCAGAGTTTCAAGAGCATCATTGCCATTGTCCACAAGATCATCATCAAACACCATTCTTCCAGGTTCAAATAGCAACAAGATTGTGCTGCCACCGAATTTAAAGTATCCAAGCTCCTCAGCACGCTGAACCTTGTCGCCTTCATTGCGAGTGATGACAGTACTTCCCACCATCATAGCACCCACACAGATGACCATGACACGGCCGTGACATTCGCTATCGATGGGCACGAGAACTCTCACGTTCTCTCCGTACACATCCAGTGCTGATCGAATGGCCATAGGGTTGACGGTATAATACTCACCCTCGATCGTCTTGGGCTTACCCATGATACCGTCGACGGGAATATGGAAACGGTGGTAGTCCTGGGGAGCCAGTCTGAAAATACCCAGTGCTCCACCTTCAAATCGCGATACATCCTCAGGATAGGCATCTCCCAGGAGTCTCTTCATATTGAATTCGCGACCCTTGACCCAAATCTTGGTGGCAGTGGTGAGGGAGTTGAAGACAACACTGCGGCAGTCGGCTGGTGATACAATAATGTGAGGGTTATGAGGTGCTGAGCAAGGACGAGCACCAGGCTTAAGAGCACGATAGAAGAACTCATTGAAGTTGTTAAACTCCTCGAGTGGTAGCAGAACCTCAGACATATCGAGACCGTGGAAAGCGATGAACTTCTCAATCTCGTCCTTGGACGCGGGATCGTCAAACTTCTTACCCTGCTTAATACTGAGGTTCTTAAGCAGCTTTCGGACTAGGTGGATATTAGCAATCTTTCTCAAGTAGTCTTGTGAAGTCCAGTGCTATACTTACTTCGCTTGTTCTCCATATCCCGAGACTTGAGACCCTTGTACAGAAGACGAATTCCTAATCTGACATAGACACTCATCTTCTCCTCGTTGATCTGTCCTGTTAGGCGGTCTTGGACAAGAATATTGGCTGAGTTTGCACCCAGCTTATATCCACCGTATGAGATCTTGGTGATGACCTTTGAGTACCACTTGCGCTGAGCCTGACTGGCAGTGACAAATCCACCCACCAGGACGCTGTTGACTTGTCTCCAGTCTTGACTAGCGCAAGTCGCGATATGGGTAACGATGTCAGCATCCTTGCGCTTGTTGAGTCGTGGTTGATGGCAGATGGGACATTCACGAATCTCGACCACATGCTCTTCGCCGCGATCGTCACCACTGTCAGACTTGTCGAGCGGATCACTCTCTTCGTCTGCAGGTGTCTTCAGTGTGGGGACGTTGGAAGACGGTGTCTGGGTTCCCGAAGCATTCAGGTCCAGGTCGCTGGGATTCTCTGAGGCGTCATGATGATTGTTGCCGTGACGAGATGGGTGCAGGAGGTTCTTCATTTCGGGAACGAGATGCTTTAATTTGTCCCCAGTCGTGGCTGATGATCGTCTTCGCCCCTCCAACTGGTCTTCCAAGCAAATGACAGCCTCATCCATAGTAAGCTCCCAGTTCTCTTCATCGTCAGCATCTCGGTGAGGGAATCGTGAAAAGAAGGTATCAATAGTAGTCTCGGTAAGTGTGGAACCCAAAGCCTCAAGCATTGTTGTAAGTTCGATTCTGCTGATTCGGCCACTCTCATCAGCATCATATTGTCGAAGCATGGCCCGCCAGAACTGTTGTCGCAGAGCATCATACGGCATGTACTTGGCGCGAAGGTACAGGACAGGGTTGTGCTTCTTCTCCCACTTTTCAAGATCCTTTAACTTGAGCGGCACTGTGTAGTCGTGGAAGTCGGCATCGCCAGCATCCTGAGCGACTGCATCAGGATCGGAACCGGTGTTGGCAAGGGCATCGGCTGGCGAAAGCATGTTTGCAGTGGGTGCTGAAGTAGGAGCTGCTGTTTGAGTGGCCGTTGTTGTGCTGTTGCTTGATGCGTGCTTGCTTAATGGTGGTCGCATCATCTTGCTGATGCTTGAAGAAGAGTTGGAGCGCGACATAGCGAGCTTCTTGAAGCGCGACCTGGAAGGAAGCGCCTCGGCTTGCGCGGGCACATTGAGGTCGTACAGTCTAGTTTCAGGGTTGGCCTTGGGGGCTCGCTCGATCATCTGATGGATTGGGAGGTTGCAGGAAGCAATGAAGTCGTTTCCGGAGTACTTGTCATGGTCAATGACAGTGAAAGAGAATGAGTATTTCTGCTCGTGGCTCTGAACTTGGAACAGCATCTTTTCGTTGAAAACAGGGTTCAGGTTATGACGGATGCGACGAGTGCGATACGTCTTCTTGCCGAGAGATGCAACGACAAATGGATCCATATCGAAGCTTGTGCGTGTCAAATTAGACTCGGGTGGCAGGTCTGTGATTTTGACCACCTCGAGGTAGATAACGCCGACGACATCGAAGCCATCGCTAGCAAATGCGTAAGGCTTGTTGCGTCTTCTCTTCTTCAATCCACGGATTCGCAGTCGGCGCTTACGCTTGACCGGGTCTTGTTCTTGGTCATCTCCTGAATCAGACTCGCTCGAGTCAGAATCGTCTTCATCAAATTCGTCATCATCATCGTCGCTGGGACTGTCTTGATTGTTGGTGGTGGGGGCCAGATTAGGTGTCATGGACGGCGTGACATTGCGAGAGCCGGTGGGGGCGGCGCCAACTAGAGCTTGAAATTTGTCGGAGATTTCCTGTGGTGTAGCTGACGGGTTCGTTGAGTCGAAGAGGGAGAACTGCAGCTGAACCTCTCCGGAGACAACGCTCGTCTTCTTGCCGGGACGCTTGCTCTTGAGGCGATACCAGGTCGGTTCTTGTTCGACCTTTCCGTTGCCGAAGATCTCTTCAAGTGCGAGATCAAATTCACCCATGTAGTCTTTTCCGAATCGATCCTTGTCCCAGCAAATAACATCTAGAATGAGGTTTTGGGTGGAAGTAAGAGGGATTTCTTCGGAAACGTTCCATTCTGGGTTGAGTGTCTTGGGAACATCGTTGGTTACGATTCGAGATTCGCCGGAGGAAACAATGATGTACTGAGAAAATGATTGTCAGTATTTTTGAAGGATGTTGTGAGGATGTTGTTTGAGGGGAGCTCACAGGATCGGATGTGCCGCTGCGATCTTTGGCTGCGAGGTCTTTTCCCTGTTGCACCGTTAGCAATTGTTTATAGTTTAACTTGATTGGCAATATCGTTGCCCTGTGCCAGTCGCCGTATTGTGGTCGACTGGCTGACAGGCGGTGATGCAGCAGAACCAGTGAAGGTGGTTTTGGGTTTCGCAGGTGGCCGCGAGGGTAAGCATAAGCACAAGCAAGTACATACTCTTATAATCCAAACTCTCAAAGCCAGACCATTTCCAGCGTCCCTAGAAGGGCTCGCGCTATCATGCTTTGACCTCATGGGGGGACTGTTGCTGCGATTGTTTTTGCCTGTTCCGTTGCCGTTGCTGACGGAGATTGTTGCGGAGGAGGAAGAGGAAGATCGAGAGGAGGGTTTGAGTCGTGTTGGGATGATGCGCACCATGACGGAAGAAAAGGCCTTGGCTAGGCCTGTAGTGGACAGCTGGAGCTCTGAGTCCCAGTGAGGACAGTACCTAATGGATGGTAGGTGAGGTGGGTGATAGATCGATCGACAGCGGGGTTACTGCACTGGTGGCCCTGAAAAGCAACCCCCGTAGTGGGTGTGGTGTCTCAGGCTCGGCCTCAGCTCAGGCTGAATTCCAGGTGATGACGTCCACTCAAGGTGCCCTGTAACCTGTTACAGAAATGTCGTCCCTCCACCAAACCCAGGGGAAAGGGCCAAGATAATGGTGGAAGTCGAGTGACCGGATTGGTGGGGATGCTCGGTAAGGCGGAGATCCAAAGGTCAAGGGGTCGGGTTGGGTTGGTCCAGAAAAGTGACGTAGCAATCAATCCAAGACGGGGTTTACCAACAGCCAGGAACCAAAGATCAAATCGTACCTAATTGAGGTAGAGAAGTTATTGATGTAGAGGATATTCCCTCAACCCAAACTCAAATAATTCTTTCTCGTTCGTGTCGATTTGAATCAAAGCTTAGGTAGGCAGGTAGCTTAGCTTATTCGCGTCGTTTTATTCGTTTCGGGAATGCGCCCAGTTCAGCTCATCAGCTCTAAATTGTTTGCATGGATGAAACTCCTTTTTTTCGGCCCCTTTTTCAATGCGGCTGTATAAGTGGCCGTGTCGTAAGTCACCTTGGTCAATATGCGACATGCGCTCGCACTCTTTGTCCGTCTGCTTTGCTTCCTTCTCGATGATTGTGATTGCACTGCCCGTAAAGGATCGTATCCTATCGTAGCGTCGTCGTAACGTCGGTGCCGGGTTACTCTCTCACGAGTGACGAAAGGCCAAGCCACAGCCAAGCCTTGTTATCGATGTCAGCGCCGAAGGTGGGATGAGGAACGCGTAAAGTTTCTAGGTAAAGTCTGTAAAGGCGTCGACCAAAATATAAGGATGATATCCGTCGATAGTTTAGTTGAGTGGGAGGTATCGACCATCAAAGGTATTTCGAGTAGGATTGGACGAGCAGGTAGAATATAAGAAGAATTGCGATTCAAATTAAAAACCAACTCGGTTATATAGACGAGACGGGTCGTTGAATTAAACAAAAAAAAAAAAAAAAAAA